AATCAAGTAAAAAAAACAAACAAAAAATGGTATTATACAATAAGATAATCAAATGGGACTAAGACATTGATTCCAGTTAATAGATTAAGTACGTTTAAATATAAGTTAAATTATCTATTCCTTCTAAATATTTCAACGGTTTTAATTCTTTTTGCATATCGTATTTCGCGGACTAAGCCACCCTTAATAGAACACTCGCCAACTTTTTGTCTAGATACTTTTAATATTGGCAATCATTTATCAATACAGTAATTACATGTAGAAAGTACAAAAATATAAAATATAAATTTGCTCCATTATTTTAGAGCTCATAAATAAAACTGTAGACCAATCAGAAGAAAGTTAGCCTATAGACGTTACACCAAATGTCAATCAAAATTATAAAAAATTACGGAAATCTTAGTAGTTCGAGATAGCTTCAATTTTTTTAGCTACGTAACGATGGCTACAGCTTCTGAGGTATGGAATTTTCTTTATATCTTTTACTTTCTTGGAATATCCTTCATTACTAAAACTTTAGAAACTTCCTTAAGGACTCTAATGGAATTTCTTTGGAAGATTTGGGTATGCAAATTTCATTCAAATAAGCAATTTATATCACCATAGATTAATTTATTTCAATTGATATTTCGTAATATTACAGGTGAGGATATGATGAACTATGAATTGTCAGATTCATCCAAAAAGGCACGAGAGGAACATCAGGCAATTCTTGATGAGTTTGAACGAAAGAAACGTGCAAGAACCTTAGCTGTACCCACCGATGACGGTCGCGTTAGAGCAAAACTTAGGGAACTTGGTGAACCCCAATGCTTATTTGGAGAAGGGGTAAGTATTGCACTTACGAATACTTTGTACTTCTAACGTTCATATTCAGTTAACGCGTCAATCGATTTTTAACACAGCCTGGCGATCGGCGTGATCGTTTGCGATATTTATTATCGAAATTAGAGGGTGCTGAAATTGTTCATGATGAAGATGAGGAATCTGAGAGCGAATCTGAGGAAGAAGTACGTCATATATAATTTATATTATTTTCTGTTTTTATAAGATGTTCAACATATTGACAAAATAGTGGACTCAGTTCATATTTATAAAATAAAGAGGGAAGAAGAGTTTTTCACTCAAGGGACTTTAGAACTTTTGGAAGCTCGTCGATGGATTGCGAGATATTCTTTACCAAGGTTTGTTAACATACATGCAATTGCATTAGTCATTTTTTAGTAAAGTATTAATCTCTAACCACTTCATATTCAGAGCCAGAGACCGTCTTCGTAAGCAACGAATCGAATACGATTTACCACTACCCCAAATAAAATCTGTGAGAAAAGATCTATTTACAGGGTTAAAAGTAAGAGTTATTAATTATTTGATTATTTGATTTGGTTCATTTATTTATTACTGGTTTTGTTCAGTCCTATGCGAACTTTAGTTCACAAATCGGTGATGATCGCCCAATTTCACAATGTGTTTTCTCACCCGATTGTAGTTTAATTGCTACTGGTTCTTGGTCTGGTTTGTGTCGAATATGGAGTGTACCAAGTTGTGAGACTGTAATAACATTTAAAGGTTACTTTTTCTCCATTACGTTTTTTACTGCCTTTAATAAAGCATCTAAAAAAAAAGGTTTGAAATATTACAGGACATACTGATCGTATTGGTGGAGTTGCATGGCACCCACAATCTACCCTTTCTATAGGCAAGAGTGTAGTAAACTTAGCTTCGGGTGGAGCTGATGGTTTAATTAATTTATGGTCTTTGGAGAGTGATTCACCGTTGGGTACATTAGGGGGGCATACGTCCAGAGTAGGGAGGATCGATTTTCATCCGTCAGGAAGATTTATTGGGTCAGCAAGGTAGGCACTAAGTTTTATAACCGTCTTCTTGTCGTTATTTTTGATCTACCTTTATTAATTATTCTCTTTTCAGTTTTGATTATTCATGGCGTCTTTGGGATGTTGAAACAACTGGAGAATTATTACTTCAGGAAGGACATTTTAAGGAAGTTTATGCAATTCGATTCCAGAATGATGGTGCTTTAGTAGCTACAGGGTATTTAATCGGTTTAAATTGCAAATATATATGACTGAAATAATTAACTTGTTTCAATTGGTTTTAGTGGATTGGATGCTATTGGACGCGTCTGGGATCTAAGGACGGGGCGATCTGCTATGGTCTTAGAAGGGCATGTTAAAGACATTTTGGGAGTGGACTTTTCGCCAAATGGGTATGCGAAAATATTCAAAATAGAAAGTTTTTACATAGTTTTATTCTTTTAGTCACATAAATAACAATTTTTTGTCAGCTATCAAGTTGCAACTGGAAGTGCAGATAATACTATACGCATTTGGGATATTCGGACTTTGCGATGTATTTATACTATTGCTGCACATAAATCTCTTGTATCTGATGTGAAATTTTTCCATGCATCGTTAGCATTGATTA